CTCTCTCTCTCTCTCTCTCTCTTTTGGGTTCATTTAATTTATTTTAATTGTTCATTTTAAATTGTTTAATTTATTTTTTTAAAAAAAATGTTGTTTTTTAAAAAATTCAATTTAATTTTTCATTTTAAATTGTTTAATTTATTTTTTTATTTTTTTTAAAAAAAATTTCATTTCATTTCATTTCATTTTTAATAATAATAATAATAATAATAATATTTATTTGTATACCGCCCAATGGTTTCCCAATTTCCCAATTTCCCAATTTTTGTCAATTTGTTATGCGTCTTTCCTTTTTGTTATAATTGTGTTTTGTATTTTAAACATGTTGGGCCTTGAGGTGAGGCGGGAAATTAAATAAATAAATAAATAAATGTTGTTGTTGTTGTTGTTGTTGGGAGAAAGGCGAGAGTGAAGGAAATACAATGATGATGATGTTGATGAGAGAAGTCACAGTAAGAGAGCCAGTGTGGTGCGCTGGTTTCAGTTGTGACTATGGAATTCTGGGAATTGGAACTTGTGGCACCAAACCAAATGTCTCTCTCTCTCTCTCTCTCTCTCTCTCTCTCTAGATACAGTGTGTGTGTGTGTGTGTAGGAAGGATACATATATATATATAGAGAGAGAGAGAGAGAGAGAATGTGTGAGTGTATAGAGAAAAGATATATATAGAGAGAGAATGTGTGTGTGTGTAGGGAGGATATGTATAGGGGATATATATATATAGAAAGAATGTGCGTGTGCAGGGAGGACATATATATATATATATATGTATGTATGTACAGGAGGAGAGAGAGAGAGAGAGAGAAAGCATGTGTGATTTGCCAGGGCTCAGGCTAGACTCAGGCCTGCATCCTTCTGAGGTCGCTAAAATGAGTACCCAACTGTTGGGGGGCAATGAGCTTACAGTTGTAAACCGCTTAGACATCCCATAGCGCAATATGAAGCGGTATATAAATGAAGCTGCTTTGCTTTGCTTTTGTGCGAATCACACAAATGGGTTATTCAGACTGTCAAGCTTTGGTCAGAGGGCCTTCTCCACAGCCAACATTTTGAGAGAGTTGATGTGGAGTTTCTTCTCCAATGGGGGACCATTCGCCTTTGACAGTCAGATCCTGTGTGCGCACTCCCCATCCCTCTAGGGTTGCATCTGTTGCCAAATTGATTTTGGGCCGAGGAGCCATGAAGGGCATACCAGTACAGACATTGCCGGGTTCGAGCCACCAGCACAATGATCTTGCTATGGGTCTCAGTACCATAAGCCATTTGGAAGGGGAGTCATACACAGGATCGAAGACAGACAGGAACCAGGATTGTACTGGTCTGAGGCAGAGTCTCGCCCACGGTGTTACAAAGGTGGTCGAGGCCAGATGCCCTAATGCTACCTGCACGGTGTGGCCAAGGCAGCTTCTGATGGCCATGGAGAGGGCTTGAAACCTGTCCTGTGGCAGGATGGCCCTGATCTCGTCGGAATCGAGGATTGCACCGATGAATTTGACCTGTATAGATGAGGTCAAGTTTTACTTCTCCCAGTTGACCAAGAGTCCAAAGGAGTCCAGGAGAGAGAGGATGAACTGGATGTCCCGTTGGAGTTTTTGTTGGGTTGATGGTGTGAAGAGCTAGTCGTCCAAGTAGGGAAACACCGTAATTCCCTGTTGATGAAGGTAAGATGCCACCGGTGCCATGCATTTGGTGAAGACTTGGTGCTGTGGAGAGGCCGAATGGAAGGACTCTGTACTGGTACATGTTGGTCCTGACCGCAAAGGCAAGGAGCCTCCTGTGATCTCTTCAGATGCTGATGTGGAAATACACGTCCTTAAGATCAATGGTCGTGAACCAGTGTCCTCTCTGCAAGAGTAGTAAAATAGAGGCAAGAGTTACCATGCAAAAGCACCAATAACAGACATAGGAGTTCAAACGTGTCAAGTCCAGGATAGGTCTGATGCCTGAGTCCATTTTGGGAACAGTAAAGTATTGGGAAAAAAAGCATTGCTGGGCCCAAGAAGAATATACGGGCTCAGTGGCACCTTTCTCTAACAAGGCATGCACTAAGTCGAGTAGGGTGTATGAGGGGCTAGTAGACAAGACAGCTCCGGTGTTCGGGAGCTCCATGAACTTGAGGGCATAGCCCCTACAAACAATGTCCAGTACCCAGGAGTTGGAGGTGATTGAAGCCCAGATGTTAAGATAGGCCTCTAACCTGTCCCCAAAGGGAGGTACGTCAAAGTGCGCTGCCCCATCTCATAGCCTCCTCTTGCCCGAATCTGAGGTTTTCTTTCAGAAATCCTGTCATTACTGAGGCTGCTGATGATGACAGCCTGAGGAGGAAGAGGAGGATTGAGAAGGTTGGTGCTGCCGAGACTGACCTTGGGGTTGAGACTTCTGCTCTTGTTGTTGATAGGCCCGCTGCTGGTAGGGCTGATACTAGGATTGTTGGCCTCCATACTGGCACCTGGGAGACTGAAAGGTGGACAAGGACATGCCATGTTTCTTGGCAGCTGCTTTCATGTGGTACCTGAAGTTTAGCTTCTCATCTGTCTCTTTGTTGAAGAGACCAGAATCATGAAAGGGCATGCCCTCGATTGCAGTCCTGGCCTGGGGAGTGAGGTCAGAAGCCCGGAGCCAGGTGTGTCTGTGAAAGGCCACTGAGCCCGACAGCATCTTCACAGCACAATCTGTTGAATGGCGAGCAGAGATTATCTGCTGACCCCCCAGAGCATAAGTCTCCACCTGGATGGCCATCGCCAAGACTCTATCCTCATCCACTGAAGCAAGAAGTGGTTCTAGACATTCCATGAGGTGCTGGACATACGCACCCATACAGGTGCATAGTTGGCAGCCTTCAAGTCCAGCACCACCGCGGTGTAGATCTTTTTTGCTATGGCATCTAGTCTCTTGTTCTCCCTATCGGTCAGCGAAGAGGAGGTCCTTGCGGTGAAGCAGAGTTGAAAGTTCTCAACGATGGCTGGATTTGGCCTAGAGTGCTCAAACAGTCAGGTGGGTCCAGAAGTAGAGATGCAGTAAAGGTTCGCTGTCTTCCTGGAGGTGGAGGGTATGGTAGCTGGAGTAACCCAAGATCTCTTTGCTATTTTCTCCAGGGAGGGAAGGTACACTATGGCAGGCGGAGTTGGTACCTACCCTTGGACTCTCTTCTCCACTGCATCGACAGCCTCCTTGTCCGTGTGGGCTACCTCCACCTCTAAGGCATTCGCCATCCGTACTATCTGGTCAGCAAATGTCAGTTGGAGAGAATGACACTAAGTTGACCAGATGCACTGGGATCGACGACCTATCGAGCTCTGAGTCAGGAGAGGGTGAATGGGACCTCACTAGAGCGGTTTGAGAAGTGGGAGCCTTCTGAGGACCTCGGGAGTGGTCTGTTGGCAAAGAGTGCAAGAAAAGAGATTCCACCTCAACATTAGGAGGAACTTCCTGACAGTAAGAGCGGTTCGACAGTGGAACACACTCCCTCGGAGAGTAGTGGATTCTCCTTCCTTGGAGGTCTTTAAGCAGAGGCTGGATGGCCATCTGTTGGGGATGCTTTGATTGGGAGTTCCTGCATAGCAGGGGGTTGGACTGGATGGCCCTTGTGGTCTCTTCCAACTCTATGATTCTATGATTCTATGATTCTATGTTGCTGTGGAATCAGAGGCGCTAACAGAGTGTAGAATGAGGTCCAGATGGGAGCCGTTAGGACCAGTGGATGTTGCCATTTCCTCCTGAGCTGCTCTGGATCCACTGGGAGGAGGTACTGACCTGACTGGGCATCAAAAATTAGGTCTGGATGCTGCTGGAGGAGAGGATCCAGAGATGGTGGCCTGTCTTCCAGCTCGGCCTGGTCGGCCTCAAACTCGAGGGATGGAATGTCTCAGGGAAGGGCTCGGTCCCAGAGACTCTCTCGATCCTGAGAGGTGCCTGCAAGTACCTGCTCAGTCTGGTATGGAGTCAGGGATGGAGGCTTCAGCGCGTGAATTTCACCCTCTGTTTTGGGATCAACATGAACCGGAGGGGTCAGAGGCCTGGCCACAGGTGCCGGATGGGCCAGTTAGGACCCAAAGGAGGCAGGTGCGATATTCGCCAACTCCGAAGATTTGCCCAATGATACTAGAACTTTCTGAGCTAGCTGCGCAGGCGCAGATATAACCCATTTGTGTGATTCGGAGAGAATACACACACACACACACACACACACACACACATATATATATGGGGGAGAGAGTGTGTAGGGAGAAAGGAGGAAATATATGTGTGTGTTGTGTGTTTATGTACAGGGGAATAGAGAGAGAGAGAGAGAGAATGTGTGTATGTTTGTAGGGAGGATATATATATATATATATATATACACACTTACAGTATATCTGTGAGAACAAGTGTGGCATAGTGGTTTGAGTGTTGGACTATAGCTCTAGAGACCAGGGTTTGAATCCCTGCTTGGCTATGGAAACCCACTAGGCAGCCTTGGGCAAGTCAGACCCTATAATAATAATAATAATAATAATAATAATAATAATAATAATAA